CGCTTTACTTCAGAATTTCCTCAACTGAATATCCAAGTTCATCTCTTAAGTTCTGTTCTTTACATAACTGTAGAAAACAGCTCAGCTGCATCCATATTTATTGGAGTTTTATTCAATGCAATCTAGGCTTTTTCTATCAGACTTCTCAAAATTATTGTAACCTCTTCCCAATGTCCAGTTTCAGAACCACTTCTACATCTTTAAATATATGTTACAGCAATAATCACTCCTGGTACCAACATTTGTATTAATTTTCTATTGCTGTTGTGGAAAATGGTCACAAACATAGTGGCTTAAACAACATAGTTTTATAGTTCTGGAGGTCAGAAATCTAAAACTGAATTCACTGGGCTAAAATCCAAGGGTTAACAAGGGTGATTTCTTCTTAAGTCTGAGGGGAAAATCTATTTCCTTGTCTTTTTTAGCTTTCAGTGACTACTCATAATTTTTGGCTTGTCCCTCTTCTTCCTCCTTCAAATTGCATCACTCCAGTCTCTGCTTTCATAATCACTTTGTTTCTCCTCCTCTGACCCTCTTTTATCCCTCTTATAACAATTTTGGTAATTACATTTTTCGACCTTTTGAACAATGCAGAATAACCTCCCAGTCTCAAGATTCTCAATTTAACCACAAATGCAAAGTCCCATTTGCCATGTAAGATAACATGTCCAGGTTTTAGAAATTAAAGTATGAATATTTTTAATTTTTCAGCCTTCAGCAGTACTTAATATTTAAGAGTTAAATGAATAATTTAGTGAAAACTACAGCATATTTTATTGCCTATTTTGAGGGTTAATTCAATTATCAGGAAGTACAATTTAAAGAAAAGTGATGAATTAAACATCAATGGAGCAAAAAAAAAATAGGACAAGAAGAAAGTTATGTTTATAAATAGTAGATTTGAAGTAGGGAGTGAATAAACTGAAAAGAAATAAAAGATTTTAAGAATAGGACTTCCCTCCAGATCAAATCAAGCAAATATAACTATTCAACTCTGTTATACAAGATAGCATATTAGAAAGTTTACTTTGAACACTGAAACACTATAAAAGCACAATTAAAATATTGGCCATTATTCATATTGTTGTCTTAATCATACTATTTATCTAAAGAATCTTTGTCATGATGTTCGGAGATGTATATTTTCTTCTATTTATTTATTTTTTATTTTCATTATCAGAGAAGGGAAAACTGGTACAGTTTGTAATAACTAGATAATGGAAACTTAATATATCATGCTATTTCATTATGGTTATAGATTTTATGCCCATTTTAATAAACAGTTGTCTACTTTGTATCATTCAGATATTGTCCTCTGTTATCTCCTGAAAGTTTTATTATTTTTTTTAACTTTTTATTGGATTTTAGGTTTTGGGGTACATGAGAAGAGCATGCAAGACAGTTTTATTATTGTATTCTTCAGCTTTAGGTCTTCAGTCTATTTGAGAGTGATTCTGGTACTTATTGTGAAATGGTGGTCAGAGATCACATTTTTTCCCTTGTAGATACTTAATTTATTAAAATTATTTGTTGAAAATACAATTTTTCCCCAATACATAAAACCTCTGGTATAATTTGTATGACTGTATCTATATAGGTCTCTTATTTTGCTTTTCTTTTTTTTTTTAATTTTTATTGGATTTTAGGTTTTGGGGTACATGAGCAGAGCATGTAAGACAGTTGCATAGGAACACACATGGCAGTATGCTTTTCTTTCCTTCTCCCCTTTACCCACATTTGGCATTTCTCCCAGCGCTATCCCTCCCCACCTCCCCCTCCCACTGGCCCTCCCCTTTTACCCCCAATAGACCCCAGTGTTAAGTACTCCCCTTTCTGTGTCCCTGTGTTCTCATTTTTCATCACCCGCCTATGAGTGAGAATACGCGGTGTTTCATTTTCTGTCCTTGTGTCAGTTTGCTGAGGATGACATTCTCCAGATTCATCCATGTCCCTACAAACGACACAAACTCATCATTTCTGATTGCTGCATAATATTCCATGGTGTATATGTGCCACATTTTTCCAATCCAGTCTATTATCAATGGGCATTTGGGTTGATTCCAGTTCTTTGCTATTGTAAACAGTGCTGCAATGAACATTCGTGTACATGTGTCCTTATAGTAGAATGATTTATAGTCTTTTGGATATATACCCAATAATGGGATTGCTGGGTCAAATGGAATTTCTATTTCTAAGGCCTTGAGGAATCGCCACACTGTCTTCCACAATGGTTGAACTAATTTACACTCCCACCAACAGTGTAAAAGTGTTCCTTTTTCTCCACATCCTCTCCAGCATCTGTTGTCTCCAGATTTTTTAATGATCGCCATTCTAACTGGCGTGAGATGGTATCTCAATGTGGTTTTGATTTGCATCTCTCTGATGACCAGTGACGATGAGCATTTTTTCATATGATTGTTGGCCTCATATATGTCTTCTTTCGTAAAGTGTCTGTTCATATCCTTTGCCCACTTTTGAATGGGCTTGTTTGTTTTTTTCCTGTAAATCCGTTTGAGTTCTTTGTAAATTCTGGATATCAGCCCTTTGTCAGATGGGTAAACTGCAAACATTTTTTCCCATTCTGTTGGTTGCCGATCCACTCTAGTGACTGTTTCTTTTGCCGTGCAGAAGCTATGGAGTTTCATTAGGTCCCATTTGTCTATTTTGGCTTTTGTTGCCAATGCTTTTGGTGTTTTGTTCATGAAGTCCTTGCCTACTCCTATGTCTTATTTTGCTTTTCAGTAGACTCTATCAATTGTCTTTGTGTCTATATTCCATTGTCTTAATTACTGTCATTCTAAACTAACTTGGTATATTAATATGTGGCATTATGTATCTTTCACATTATTTTACTTCCAAATTGTCTTGTCTATTCTTGAATTCTTTATTTCCATATAAAAGGTAGAATTACTAGACAATAATCAGAAAAACATTTATAAATTTACTGGGACTGCATTGAATTAATACATCAAGTTGGAAATAATTGCTATAGTTTGTATTACTGAGCCTTTCAAATTCTAACAAGGTATATACATCTATTTGTGTATCTTTTAAAATTTATCTTAATATTAGTTTCTACTATTCAGTATAAAGCTATTGTACGTATATATTTTTATATTTATTTCTAGATATTTGTTACTTTTATTCGATTGTATAAACGGTATTATTACAATATTTTCTAATTATTTCACTGGTATATAGACAGGTAATTACATCTTTTTGTTATCTTTTAAAACTCAGGAGTACAAGCCCACATTTCGTATATAGGTAAACTTGTGTCATGAGGGTTCACTGTACAGATTAATCACTCATTTATTAAGCCTGGTACCCATTAGTCATTTTTTGTGATTCTCTCCTTCCTCCCACCCTTCACTCTCCACCCTCTGATAGACCCTAGTATGTGTTGTTCCACTCTATGTGTCCATGTGTTTATATTATTCAGCTTCCACTTATAAGTGAGAACATGCAGTGTTTGGTTTTCTGTACCTGCTTTAGTATGCTGAGGATAATAACTTCCAAAGCCATCCATAGCCCTGAAAAGAACATGATCTCATTCCTTTTTGTGGCTGCATAGTATTCCATAGCGCATATGTACCACACTTTCTTTATTCAGACTACCGTTAATGAGCATTTGGGTTTATTCCATCTCTTTGCTATTGTGAGAAGGATTGCAATGAACATAAGGGTGCACTTATCTTTATAATAGAATAATTTATACTCCTTTGGGTATATTCTCAGTAATGTGATTGTTGGGTCAAATTGTATTTCTCCCTCCAGGTCTTTGATGAATTGCCACATTTTTTTCACAATGGTTGAACAAATTTATACTCCCACCGACAGTCTATTAGCATTTTTTTTCTCTGCAACTTTGCCAGCATCTGTTATTTTCTGAATTTTTAGTAAGAGTCAAAAGCTCAACATCACTGATCAACAGAGAAATGCAAATGAAAACCACAATGAGATACAATGTCGCACCAGTCAGACTGGCTATTATTACAGTTTATCTTTTGTCTTGAATAATCTTACTAAATACACTTATTAATTTTAATAAGTGCCTCTGTAGATATTTTGAATTTTCTCTGTAAACAGTCATGTTCCCCTTAAATAATGACAGTTTTATTTGTTCTTTTCCTCTTTTTTTATTTTAACTTATTTTTACTTGCCTAATCTTTCTTCTTATTGCACTAATATTTCCATTACCATGTAAATTATACTAGTGAACGTGCTTTTCTTGTTTCCGAGGTCAGGAAAAGCTTTCCAACTTTTCACTATAGAGTAATACATTTATTGCAGGTTTTCTTTAGATTCCTTTTTTTAGATTAAGTTAGTTCCTGTCTATTTCATGTTTGCTTAAAATTTATGGTAAATAAGTGATAGATATTATCAAATATTTTCTCTACATGTTGAAATAATCATATAGTTTTTTTTCTTTACTGTCTCAATGTAGTCAATTTCATATGTTAAAACAACCTGAGATAAGCTCCACTAGGTCATGATATAATATCCTATTTATTAAATTTTCCAAAAATGTTTAAATATTTTGGCATCAGCTGGACACTGTCTCATGCTAGTAATCCCAATGCCTTGGGAGGCTAAGATTGGAGGGTTTCCTGAGGCCAAGAATTTGAGACCAGGCTAGACAACATAGACTCTATCTTTACAAAAAATAAAATAAAAGTCAGCCAGGTATTGAAGTGTACACCTGTACTTCTAGCTACTTGGGAGAGTAAGGCAGGAGGATCACTTGAGCCCAGGAGTTAAAGGAGTTGCAGTGAGCCATCATCATCAGAAAGACACCCTAGCTCAAAAAAAAAAGGAAAGAAAAGAAAAGAAAAAAGAATTTTGGCATGAAGGTTTATGAAAGGTGTAGGCCTATAATTATACTTTGAATTAAAGATCTTGCCAGGTGTTGGTAGCTAAGTTATGCTCACTTCATAAAAAATTTATAAATGTTTCCTCCTTTTCTACTCTTTCAATTAATTTGTAAACAATTTTTTTAGTAATATGGAAGAAATGATCAATGAAGACATTTGGACCTGGAGTTCACTGTGCCAGTAAGTTTTTAATTATTAAGTCAACATATTTAGTGTATTCTATTTCCTTCCACTTAACTTTTCATGTGTTTTTCCCCAAAGAATTTGTCTATTTTATCTAAATTTTCAAATTAATTGGCATAAAGCTGTTGTCTTCTCTTTAATTTTCCCTGTTACATTTGTTATTTTGTATTCTTACTTTTTGGCTTTAATTTGTTGCTCTATTTTTAGCTCTTTTAGTGGATACATAGGTCATAGATTTTCAGCCCTTCTTATTTTCTGATATATAAACTGAAGATTATAATATTTTATCTGAATAGAAATTAGAGTAGCACAAGTTTGTAAATATCAGTTTTCTTTATTATATTCAAAATATTTGTCAAAATATTTTTAAAATTTTATTGTGATTTATAGTGGCTTCCCCTTATCTGTGGGGAATATGCACCAAGGTTCCCTATGGAAGCCTGAATCTGAAGATAGTAGTGCTATAGTACATATGTGAGTGTACATATATATATAGTAGTGAACACTATATATATGTAACAGCCATGTATACACATATATATGTATATATATATAGTGTTCACCACACACTATATATGTGTATATATATATATATATATATATATATATATATATATAATGTGTTTAATTGTGTTTCTCTAATTCCTGTGGTATTTCTTATATTTCTTATCTCTTTTTCAGTTGTCGGTAATTTTTAAAAAACTTTCTTTACTTATAAGTTCACTGACTCTTTTTCTGCTTGGCTGAGTCTGCTGTTGAAGCTCTCTTTCTATGAGATTATTTAGTTTAATCATTATGTTCTTTAGCACCAGAATTTCTATTTGGTTCTTTTTTTATAGTTTCTATCTCTTTATTGAATTTTCCATTTTTTGTGAGTGTTATTTTCATGGCGTTGTCTATATGAGTATCTGTATTTTCTTGTAGCACACTGAACTACTTTGAGGTGATTATTTTGAAATCATTGTCAGGAAGTTTTAAAATATCCATTTCCCTTGGGTGGGTTACTGGTCTTTTATGTTGTTCCTTTGGTGGTGCTATGTTTTCCTGATTGTTGTTAATATTTGTGGCAATGCATTGATGTATGCACATTTGAAGAAGTATGCACTTATTTCAGTATTTACGAATTTGCTTCAGAAGGGAATGCCCTTCACCAGTAATCTTATCCAGAGATTGTGGGAAAGAAATCTGGCTTGGTTTACAGATGGGCCTAGTGCTGGGATACTCAGTCAGACTGTACTTGTTTCTAGGTAAGCAGTTGGGTAGGCCTGGTGCCTGGCAACAAGAGTTGGGCCTGGAACATGCATCATGAAAGCTAGCCTGAAGCCTGGGTCCACAGTGATCAACTTGGCATTCAAAAGATCCTGGAGATTGAGTCCACAGGATTTGGACAGTTGGTGTCTTTGTTCTGGTGCTTGGGTTCATGTGGATTGTCCTGGAAACTGAGTCCATGGGGCTAGCCTACACCAGGGTGGGCCTGGAGCTTGAGAATATGGGGTTGGCCTGGGTCCTGGGCCTGTGTGTGGCAGAAAGGCACCAGGATCTACTGGAGTGTGCCTGGACTCTGAGTCTGCTGGAACAGACCTGGAGTCATTGGGAATGTCTTAGCACCTTGGACTAGCCTGGTGCTAGAGAATACCTGGATCCTGGGATAGGAAGCTCAGTCTGGAGCCTAGGTCAGTGGGATGAACCTGGAGGAAAGGTCTTTAAGGGATTGATTGGAGCCTGTGGCCATAAGGGTCAGTTTGGAATCTTGGGCCTAAAACCTGGCCTGGTATTGGGTAAACATAGAGCTTGTGTTTGTAAGAGCAAGACTGAAGGCTATATGTGTAAGAGCTAGCCTGTTGCCTAAAGTAATGCAGTCCAGTATGGATCTGAGGTCTGCAAGCACCAACTAGCTGCTGAGATGAAGCTGGAGGTTAGGTAGACACATGTTGGTCTGCAGCTTCATGGGCTGTCCTGGTGCTCAATTTTACTGGAAACTATGTTCAGGGGCTAGACTGGGACCTTTATCTGTTAGGGCTGACCTGAAGCCTCAGTCCACGGGGACCAGACTGGAACCTTGTTCCACAGGAGCAGCTCTGGTGCCTGAGTCCATGAAGACTTGCCTAGTACTGGAATCTTCTGGGTTGTTTCTGGACCCTGAGTCTGTGGGAGTGTGGGTTATCAGAATCTACTTAGAAGCCTCAGACCACAAAGGTCAGCCTGGCACTGAACAGGTCTTAAGCTTGTGTGCTAGGGCCAAACTGGAGGTTTGGTCCATGGGTGCCCACCAGGCCTGAGAACATGGTGGCTGGTGTAGAGCTTGGGTCTGCAAGTCCCAATCTGTATTTTAGGACTGTGGGGGCCAATTTTAGGGCTTGGGCAGTCCTGAAGTTTTGGTCTATGTGGGCAGTCTTCTATGGGCAGTCTGATGCCTAAGGCTGTGGGGGCTGCCTGAACTCGGGGTCTTCAAGTGTCAGCCTAGTGACTAGAGCTGTGGGAGTCAGCCTGGTAGTAGGACAGGACTGGAGCTTTGAGCAGGGCTGCAGTTCTGCTCTATGGAACAAGCCAGAGCTGTAGTGGCTAGTCTGGCACTGAGATAGGCCTGGACACTCAATTCATGGGTGCTGGCCTGAAGGCTGCAGGTATGAGCCTTGTCTAGAGTGGGGGCAAGCCTGGAGACAGAGTCTGCCAGGCCTGCCTGGAGCCTAGGGCCATGGGGTCCTGCAAGGTGCTCAGTTTTACTGGGGCAGGCCTGCAATCATATGCCATATAATCTCAATAATTTGATACTTGTTGTGACTTGCTTTATTGCCCAGTATATGGTCCCTTTTGTGAATTTGAAAAAATAATATATTATGCAGTTGTTCGGTGTAGTGTCTTTATAGTATGTCAAATTTTGTTATTCAAATTTTCTATATCTCCACTGAGATATATATATATATATGTATATATGTGTGCATATATATGTATAAATGTGTATATATATGTGTGTATATATATGTATATATGTGTGTATATATGTGTATATATGTGTATATATATGTGTATATATATATGTGTATATATATGTTCTGGGGTACATGTGTAGAACATGCAGGTTAGTTACATAAGTATACACGTGTGATGGTGGTTTGCTCCATCCATCACCCCATCATCTACATTAGGTATTTCTCCTAATTCTATCCCTCTTCTACCCACCCACCCCCTGCTATTCCTCCCCTAGCCCCACACCCCAAAATAGGCTCCAGTGTGTGATGTTTCTCTCCCCATGCCCATATGTTCTCATTGTTCAACACTGACTTATGAGTGAGAACATGTTTTGTTTTCTGTTCTGACATCAGTTTGCTGAGAATGATGGCTTCCAACTTTATCCATGTGCCTGCAAAGGACTTGAACTAATCCTTTTTATGGCTGCATAGTATTCCATGGTGTATACTTGCCACATTTTCTTTATCCAGTCTAGCATTGATGGGCATTTGAGTTGGTTCCAAGTCTTTGCTATTATGAACAGTGCCACAATAAACATACATGTACATGTGTCTTTATAATAAGATTTATAATCATTTGGGTATATACCCAGTAATAGGATTGCTGGGTCAAGTGATATTTCTAGTTCTAGATACTTGAGGAGTTGCCACACTTTCTTCCACAATGGTTGAACTAATTTACACTCCCAACAGTGTGAAAGCAGTCCTGTTTCTCCACATCTTCTCCAGCATCAGTTGTCTCCTGATTTTTTAGTGATTGCCATTTTAACTGGTGTGAGATGGTATCTCAATATGGTTTTGATGGGCATTTCTGCAATGACAGTGGTGATGAGCATTTTTTATATGTTTGTTAGCTGCATTTTTTCTTTTTGTTTATTTAGTTATTAATATAGGTATGCTAAAGCTTCAACTGTAATTCTGAGTTTATATAGTACTACTTTTAGTTTTCTACTATTTAATTACATTTCCCCATTATTATCTTATCATTTATACATTCTTTTGTTATTAATTTGTGGTTATTCCAGGAATTATATTAATCTTTGACCTTTTATACTTTAGTACAAATTGATATTTCTGTCAGTTCTCAAACAATGCAAGCACCTTACACTTCAGTTTATTCTATCTACATTCTTACACTATTATCATACACTTTATGCATTTAAAACTTATAGATTATTATTACTACTATTTGTAAATAATATTTATATTGTGCCCCACATACTTGCTCTTCTGACGGTTTTTATTTTATCTTGTGTTAAATGTCGATCATCTCAGGTAATATTTTCCTGCATGGAGAAATCTCATCAGCATTTCTTTTAGTGCTTTTTGCTTGCAATGAAATTATCATTGTGTTTGTTTGTTTAAAAATGTCTTTCTTTAAGAATGCTAAAGATAGCTAGAGAAGAAGGGCAGGTAACTTACTAATAAAACCCGATCAGGCTAACAGTGGAACTCTCAGTAAAACCCTACAACTCAGAAGATATTGTGACCCGATATTCAATATTTTTAAAGAAAAAAACACTTCAACCAAGAATTTTACATCCACCCAAATTAAGCTTCTGAAACAAAGGAGAAATAAGATCCTTCTCAGATAAGCAAATGCTGATGAAGTTCATTACCACCAGACACACCTTACAAGGGATCTTGAAATAAACTCTGAATGTGAAAAGAAAAAAGCATTATCAGTGAATACAAAAACATACTCAAATACACAGATCCATGACAATATTAAGCTACCACATAAACAAGCCAACGGAATGACCAGCTAACATTATGGCAGGGTAAAATCCACATATATCAATACTAACCTTAAATGTAGATGACTAAATGCCCAATTTAAAAGATAGAGTGTAGAAAATTATAAAAAAAGCAAGACCCAATGGTATGATGTTTCTAAGAGATGAAAGCAACCATAGGCAAAAAATTAAGAGATGAAGGAAATGGCACCCATAGGCTAAAAATTAAGAGATGAAGGAAAATAAACCAAGCTAATGGAAATCAGAAAAAAAACTTGTGGTTATAACCCTA